CTTAGAAATTCAGAATCTCAAGCCCCCCACCCCCAACCTACTGAATCAAAAGCACCCAGAAAATTCACATACACATGTAAGAGTCACTGATCTAGACAACTCTTGATTGGCAATGTTAATAGGAATGAAAATAGGGAAGACAAAATGCTCAACTTTATGCATACTTGTTTTTATTAAGATATAATTGACGTAGAACATATTAGTTTCAGTTGAACAGCATACTGATTCAATATTTGTATATATTGCAAAATGCTCACCAAAATCAACGTAGTTAACTTCCATCACCATTCAGGATTACAATTTGTTTTCTTGTGATGAGACTTTAAAGATTGACTCTCTTAGCAACTTTCAAATATACAATACAGTATTATTAATAGTCACCATGTTGTACATTCCATTACTGGAAGTTTGTACTTTTTTTTTTTTTTAAGTAGGCTCCATGCCCAACATGGGCTTGAACACAGGACCCTGAGATCAAGAGTTGTATGCTCTATTGACTGAGCCAGCCAGGCACCCCAGGAAGTTTGTACCTCTTGACCAGGTATGTAGACATACATCTTGACTTCCTCTTTGTCAATATTTTCAAGAATTACTAAGTTGCTATCCATTGTGGCTGGCTTTTAGTTTCATTTTGCTCACTCACTAGTAACGAGCAGTGAAATTTCTAAAAAAAGAAATGGACAACTCATAAATCACATGGATAGAATGAACATCTCAGGATGCAATGACCTGGTATCTTGACCAAATCCCCTGAATGAAAAAGAGGTCAACCTTAGTGGCCCTGGAACGTAGAACAAGGATGACCCTCAAGGTGGCAGGTGCAGAAGCCCCAGCGAGGAATTTCAGACTGGGGAGTGGGTCTGATACACTGAGAAGATAGGCTCTCTACTTCCTATCCTCTGGACATAGAAAGATGTGGCATTTTCAGGGGGAAAAAAAGTGGTTCAATTTCAGAGAAAAGGGGTGTTTTTAAAAACTACAGCCAGTCTTGGAAATCAACTCCAAAAATGTTATCTCAACCAGCATTATGTCACTTGTCTGCAAAGGTAGAGAAAGGCACCTAGAGGGGCCATTTCTGCATGAACATGTGATGGGCCAAATCTGGTGATGACATTTCCTTGTCTAAGTTCGAGACCCCAAGTCAGAGGGTGATTTACACGTCAGTTGCAGTGTGTTGGTCAATGTTCCAGCCTGTCAGCTCAGCCCCGCCCTGCTCTTCTTGAACAAGCACCATCAGAGCTCCAGCTACACGGGGCTTTGAAAGGTTAGTCAAAGACCACATTGTGTTCCTCGAGCTGCAGGAGCGGCTGCACTAATTTGGATTGTGACTTGGCTTGTCTTCCCCCCCACTCTTCCTGAGGTCTGAGCTGGGTTTGTGTCAATCAGTGGTGTCACATCATTCATGTACTGAAGGATGGTGGCCCTGCCAATCCTTGAAGTCGTTTTTTAGGATCATCTTAGTAAGACATCTGGGACAGTGTTACATAATTCTGCTCACTCCATACCACTAACAGTCACCATTGCGTGTTTTTGCAGACTTCTGGAAGGCATGTGTCATATCCAGTGCATTTAAATTGTATACTAGTTGGTGGAAGGAATATTCCATTTGGAGCCAGAAGGCCTGGCTTGGCCACTTCTTTTGTGCCTCAGTTTATTCACCTATAAAATCAGCATATTATATATCTGATTGTAAAAATAAGGCATGTGAGATAATTTTGTAAACCATAGCGAGGTATTGTACCAAGTAAGATGGAGCCACATCTGAACCACAGATCAAATCCAGTGTAATCAACAACTCATGTTAGAGAATGTAGATCACAATCAGACATTTCAAATTCAAACATTATCTGAAAAAGTCAGAAGGATCAAGGATCATTAGAATCAGGGATTATTATATAGTAAAGTTGTCTTTAGCAGCAAACGTTAATTAGGTTTCCACTAAGTATAAATGGTTACCAGTTAGAAATGATAACTGTAATTGTCAAATAAAACTCTAATAGAAATGTTCTTTGAGCTAACGAGGCACATGAACAAGTAAACAAAGCATGGCTTTCTTTTTTTTTTTTTTTTTAAGTTCTATTTATTTATTTGACAGAGAGAGAGAGAGAGCCCAAGCAGGGGGAGTGGCAGGCAGAGGGAGAAGCAGGCTCCACAAAGAGCAGGGAGCTCAATCCCAGGGTCCTGGGATCATGACCTGAGCCGAAGGCAGTCGTTTAACCAACTGAGCCACCCAGGAGCCCCTCTGGCTTTCTTTTTTATAGGTAATAGCTAGGACAAGTCATCGCTGTGATACAACCCCACCTGGCAAAAGCACTCTCTCTCCTTTTTTCTCCTTTATGTGGGAACTTTCCTCATTCTCTTGGCTTTAGAAGATGACAGGAGGCCACATCAATCCAAACAATCTCTTTTCTTATTCTCCTTTCTTTTCCTCTTGAGTATTACTTTATGGAGGGATGTCTTTATTTCTTCTGATTCTTGCTTTACTAGTTTTTCTCTCTAAATGTTTCCTTTCATGACTCTTCCCCTGACTCTGGTCTCTGCCACATCAAGAGAACTTTCCCAACATCTCTTATCTTATTAGGAAAATGTATAAAGGATGATTCCTCCTTATTGTCTCATCCTTTCCTTCTGAACTATTAATGGCAATTTGGAATATCTTGCTTTTTAAAGGAGTGTTGGGATAGAAGAAGAAAGTATATTTTCTTTAACATGTGGCAGGATGGAGATACAAGGGAGGAAAATAAGAGTGTTGTTTCTTTTAATAACTCAAAATGTTACTAGCAGGAGTGTTTTGTCAATTATAGAAGGTATTTTTAATTCCTTAGAAGGAAGACTTATAGGGGGATGCTATGGCCCAGGATAATTAGTCTGTGACACAAACTGCATTCACTTTCTTGACGACACGTGTTAGCTGGAATTGATAAGGACAAATTGATGCGCTCAAGCATGGGGAAGAGAGTCTGGAAATACTCATTGTGTCCTCATGACTTCACCTGGCATATTATTCTATGAAAAGCCTCAAGTATCCTAACTTTTCTCACTCTTCATAAATTCAATGTGAACATGCACCCAGTAACCCTTTGATCCAGATTCACTTTATACTGTGTGCCCAGGGGGACCTCAGCCACCAACTCTGCTGGGTCTCATCTCGGTAGACTCAGAGGGCCAAAGCTTCGGCTTGCTATGTAGGACCTGCTCAGTAGCTGTATGTTTTATTCAGAGTATTATTCCCTTGGGGCCTTCAGTATCTCCTAAAGATTAATAAGCAATCAGCCAATCTGTCTTCTTACAATGTGGACAGATCTTTCCATTTTTTTTTTTAGAAAATAAAATTTACTAAGAGCGGTGGCACTTGCCCCTTTTTGGTCAGAGATAAAAAGAATCAGAGACTTACCAGGAAGATGGAGAGTGCAATGACTTTTAGCTTTCTGCAGCACAGGAAAGGAGACTGTGATTTCCCCACACTAGCTAGAGAATTCTGCTTCTTCTGAATCAATTGGGTGATCATAGTCTTATTAGAAGGGAGTGTGTTTGTCCTCATTCTACTTTGAACCAATAATTACATAGTTCTGCCTTTCATGTCCATTTAAAATTACTGTTGCAGAATACATTTATCACAGTTATTCATAGTGTAAGTGACAAACCCTAAGGGAAATTAATTTAAAAATCAATTGTGTATTTATATATTTATGGTTCAAATCCCTTGAAAACTGGAAATATATGCATGAAACATAGTAGTGCCCCAAGACAAAACAACAACAGCCTAAAAGGAAACTAAACTGGAGAGAGAACTGATGAAAATCAGAAAACAGGCCTAAGAAATTTAATACTAATAAATGCCATTGTTGAACGAATAACTGCATGTTAATAGTTCATACATTTTTATTTCTAATCTTCAGCAAGAAGTATCATGGTCCCATTTTTCAGAAAGTGAAACTAAGGCCTAAAAGGTGGAGAAATTGACCCAGGTCACTTAGTTATTAATTTCTCTCTGACCCCAAAGCCCATGTGTTTTCCACTATGAAAGCTATACTACTGGTCTCAATTATTTCTTCTTTGTTGGGCTTCCAAAATTAAACTATGTTTGAGAATCAAAAGGTAATTCCACAGTTTGTCAAAGTAAGCAGTAGAAGGCAATTTAAAGTAAAGAAAATATTAAGTTAAATTGGAAAACATGAATGAAGCAGATGCAAATTTTATAGTAACTTGAATTCAAGACAAAAGGCAAAGGAACAGGTTCTTAAATTATTTTCAAGATTCCTCTTTTGAGGTGAAGGAGATAGAAATTTTAGTGATTCAACAAATTGCTATTTTTCTTCTTTTCCCAAAATATTGTTGAATCTACAAATCAACAATCTTACAAAATTTAAATATTCATTAATTTTAGCATTTCCAATAAAATTAAGGAGAGTTTCATGCACTATATTTGATTTTATGTGGTTCCTGAAATTCGGAGCATTAATTATTATTTTTTGCATAAACAGATAAATTATGTCTATTGAAAATATGTAAACTGCATGATTTTAAAGGGAAAATATTGTTTTCTGTTTATTAAAGAGCACTTAAAAATTTTAATGGACTATGAATTAATTTAATTCAAAGCTGATCTGTAGAAACATGAAATACCATGGAATATTTTCTTTACTTCAAACAAAGCCCAATTCCTTGCAAACCTCCATGGAGAGTGAGTCCCTGGTTTGTTTTTCTGAAGCTGAAGGCATTCTGCATGTAAGGTCATTACCTGGGGCTCTTTCTGGATGTGGTGCACAGGCCAAGTGTCCATATTGGAACTGCCAATTCTTTTGATGACCCTGCCCATTTCACTACTATTGGGCTACAACTCTTAATCAAAGTCACTTCAAAGACCCCAAACAGATTGATTCACATGTGAATGCAACCCAAACTGTCTTCCAAAGGAGGAGGGATTCTAGTCTTATGTTCCTTTGAACCTACTGTTGCTCATTTACTAGTATTTACTTTGCATGGCCTATTGCTGAACCATGGAAATTGGAAAACAAACTCCTATTCAGCAAGTCATGTCAAAGGTGACTGCGGAGCCCAAGAATTGACTGTGGGACAGACATTCTTTCTGATCTGGAGGCCTCTTCTGCAGCACTGCTGTCTCCACAGTTACATACCTGTCCATGGAAGCCTTTCGTTTATCTTGTCTATGTGGAAAGTCCTAGACGATGCCATCAATCTGAGAGATGAGAGAGATGCCCATGTGACATTCCAACAATGGTTGTGGGGGGTGGGGAGGGGAAGAAAAGAAAGAAAGAAAAAAAATTAGCCAATCCTGAACAAAGTTCTTTTGAACTGTACCATGGTCATAGAGAAGATCCCATGGGCACTTCTGTTCAGAAACGTACTTTGTACTCTGCCAAACACACAGTAAGGCAAGCATTTCCACTTGAGAATAGAACATGGATACTGTCCAACGACTCAGGGAAGAGAAGGACAGGAAATAATCAGATTCCTGAATTTTCTTTTGGGGGAAATCAGATTCCCTTAGAATAACGCAGCTGCAGCACGCATCACTGCTTACCGGTCATTGATGAAGACCGTATTTCCTGTTTCTTCCTCTTATGGTAGAGTCAGTAGAGGGGTACCCAGGATGTTGTGTTTGAATGACTTGGGTGTTCTGTGGCCCCCAAACCAAGGTTGCTGGTATTTTTACTAGTCTGGATTGCACATTGAAAAATGTTAAAATTGGATTCTTTTGGAGATATAGTCAAACACATTTTAAAGTTCTTTTGATGTGAGAAATTCACCAACCCAGATTGAATGATAGGTCTTTTTTTTGTTCCTGAAAAAAAAAAATACTTTGAATATGCATTTTTTACTCTATGAGGTTGCACGTTTCAATCATGAGATTGCATGTGAAAGTGCCTGGGAAGATGTAACATGCTTCTCAGCCTCCCAGCCATCATCATCGGCTCCACCATCAGCAGCACTAGCAGGGTCCTTTGGAAGCAGAGCTGAATGCTGTGTTTATGATGGAAGCCAAGTCCTGTTCATGTCACTCGAATTGAGATGAAGATGAAGCTTTTCTTATGGGAAGGTCCTTGACGAAGAGCTTTGCTGCCAAGCTCACAGTGCTCCAGCCAGCTGACCCTTAGGGCAAGGTGCAAAGTCCATCTGTTTACACAGTCTTTTACTCCATGGGGGTTAATTTGAGAAGAAATTTCTCAGACATGATATGGAGATGTGCGTGTAAATAGTAGTTTTTATTTAGTACTATTTTTTTTCTATCTGACATATTTTATAAATATTCCAAATGCCTACAAAAGTAGACTCCAATGTATTCATTTAAAGCATCACAGGATGTTATTTACAAGTCGAATTGAATCAGTTCTGTTCAATGAGAGGATACAATTTTAAATATAGACTGAAAATTTTAAATATAGACTGATTTCCTTGTGACAGGAATAGTGCACTGTGTTTTAAACAATTGTTTTAATCATCATTCAGATCTCAAAATAGCTGAGATAAGAGCAGATGATGAAGAGATAAAAATAGCAAAGTAATCCATTGAGAGACCCTATGGAGAATCCAGCATCAACTACAGCGATCTCATGTGTCTTCTGTAGAATATCTCTCCACCCTTGGAGTTTTGCTATTGCAGAAGTCACTGAAGTCATCTGCAAGGTCATTTCCATGCACACCATGTCCTTCCACTTATATTCCAAACTTCCTACTAAGACCACCAAATGCTTCACACCACGATCTCATTCGTCTGGGTTATGTCATTCTGGAGTGGCGTGTGGATATATTTCCTAGAATGTCCTCATTGGGCCATGACTGAGAGATACTAGATTTAAAGTACTCCCTTGTTATCATAACTTTAGCTAAAAATTTAAGCGGTAGTGACTGTATACATTTTAACAAAATTAGTGGGGAAATCGAACCAAGAACCCAACTTCCCTGTCTGTCAGCCTAATTTTTCACTCACCAGTTCACATCAGCTCATGAACGTGTAATGTACCTTTGTGTGGGGTGGTGGGATCTGGAGGGGCAGGGAATGCATGCGATAAAGTGACTATTGGTATGTGGAACCGGGAGAAATAACATATCGGGTTTAAACCGTATCAGAGGTCTTGAAATAGCTCTATTCAACCTCAAGCTTGGTTTTTAATTTGCATTTTTCTCCTCTTTAAGATAACTCTGAGCATTGAGCTTCAAGTGGCACTTGCTGGAGATGGCTTGTTCAGGCGTAACTAATGCAAATATTTGGTAGGGCTCTCGCTTGTGCCTGACACTGTGGAGTGTGAGGGGCGCAGAGACTCGGGGAGGGAGACGGCAGCAGCATGGCGGCTGCATAAGAGCCGCCCACCCTCCTCTTCCCCATCCATCACTGCCAGAGTCACTGGGACCCTTAAGTCTGCATGTGTTAGTTGTAAGCCCGCTGCCCGCCCCGTCAGTCCTCCGGTCCACCCGTCCTCCTTCCTTTCTCTGCCACTGGCAGCCCGACGTCGGAGACCGGAGACGGGGGACAGGATAACTCCCACTCCCCACCCCACCCACAAGCCCCGGGGCTGGACCACGCAGGATGTGAAGCTGGGGGTCCCCTCGCTCCCGCAGGGCAAAGAAGATGACCGAGGAATGGACCTACCCTATGAGAAGAGAGGTGCAGGAAATTTTACCTGGATTGTTTTTAGGCCCATATTCTTCTGCTACGAAAAGCAAGCTACCTATACTACAGAAACATGGAATAAACCCTATAATATGCATAAGACAAAATATTGAGGCAAACTTTGTTAAATCAACCTTTCAACAACTGTTTAGATATTTAGTCTTGGATATTGCAGATAATCCAGTTGCCAATATAATACAGTATTTTCCCATGATTAAAGAATTTACTGATGGAGAAAAAGTTCTTGTCCATGGAAATGCAGGGATCGCCAGGAGTGCTGCCTCTGTTATTGCATACATTATGGAAACATTTGTAATGAAGTACAGAGATGCATTTGCTTACGTTCAAGAAAGAAGATTTTGTATTAATCCTAATGCTGGATTTGTCCATCAACTTGAGGAATATGAAGCCATCTACCTAACAAAATTAACAATACAGATCATGTCAGCACACAAGATAGAAAGGTCATTATCTGTTCATTCTGGACTCACAGGCAGTTTGCAGAGAACACAGGAAAAAAAAGATGGTTTGGGAAACATGCACGTGGTGACTGCAAAGAATGGCCGACTCAAGAGCAACATTATAGGGGATGTGAATTTCTATTTGGGAAGGAGAAAATACTAGAGACAATAATAATGTAAAATGGTAAAAACAAACAAAAAACAAAAAAGAAAAAGAAAATATTTAATGGGCGTGTCCACTGGGCCAGTGTTACTCCAAGTGCTATGACACGCCTTGCTTCATGTAAACCTCACAAGTAACCTATGCGGTGGGTACTACGGTTTCCTCCACCGTACAGATGGGGGAATTAAGGCAGGGGAGCCAAAGCAACTTGTATCTAGCAAGTGGGGTTTGGGATGACTCCAGAGCCTGCATTGCTAATCCCCGTGCCCTGCCGCTTCCTCTGTGTGACCTGCACCCACCGCAATCCAATGGACTGGGTGGAACTCAACACCCAGTACCTTAGGGAGATGCTCTGTTGGAATTAATGGAGGTCAGTTTTTAATGGAACAGCTTGGGACATGGCTAGACACCCATTAAAGTGGAATAACCAAGGAAACATCTGTCAAAAACAAGCCAGTTTTAATGTACAAAGATCACTTGTTATTGGCACAATAGTCATGTGTACACAGATGGAGGCTGATTTGAATTTAAACATTTTGTCATCTAGTAGAACAGGTTTTGTCATCTAGTAGAACAGGTTATTTTCTTTGAAATCAGGTTCACGGCATGAATTTGTCTCCGAAATCTACATTGCCCAGAGGTCAGGTCTTTCTGTCAGAACTGTGAGGAGCTCTGGACTGGGGTTCTGAACAGTAGTGAGGTCCCAGTGTATCTGCCTCTCGGTCTGTATTTGAGTTCTGAGTATGGCTGTCTTCCCCTGGTGATATGCTCGTCTCTAAGGGAATGAGACTGGAGCCTCAAATTTCTCTCCCTCAAACCCTTATGACATTGTGCTCGATAGAATGCAATTCTACCCCTGCCAGCAACAGGTGCAGCGTGGGGAAGAACACCGTTCCACAGATAACAGGCATGCATATGTCTGGTGGATTTAATTAGACACAGTGCCCATTAACAATTTCTGCAGATGTTCACATCAAATCAGCTAAGCTAATTTTCTCACACTTTTCAGTTTGGTCTATTTTCCCTTTTCCCAAGTGTAGCTACTCTCACCTTTATCTTATGATGCCTACATGCGAGCAAACTTCCTTCTGCTCCTGGAATCCAGATACTCAATTCACTGTGTGATGTTGAAGAGATACAACTGCTGTTTGATACTTAGTCTTTGCTCTGAAACATATATTATCATGGTTAAGGGCCATTTCTGGAGAGTAGGAAATTAGTGGCTGTGTCTAGCTAGGAGCTGCTTAGTCTCTGTCTGTGTCAGCTAGTCTCTGACACAGAGAACATGCACACTGGGTTCTCTGAGGCACACTGGCCTACCCAATCAAATAATTAAAAAGAATTGATATCAGCTGCATTTAACTCTCCTGCAGAAGCACTTTGTGAAATTAAGTACTCATGGTCCCAGAAAGCTAATGCTTTTTCTAAAGAGTGCAGTTTATTCCCAAAGGGGATCTGAGAGTATATCTTCATAGCTACCTATGCTAGATTTAAAAACAAGCATATTGTAACAGAGTGGAAAGAAGACTGGACCCAGGAATGAGGGGATTTGGGCGCTCATCTCAGTGCCATCCCTAACTACCTGGGTAATCTTGGTAAATCACTTTACCCCTCTCGGCCTTACTTTATTCATTTATGAGATAATAAAGTGGGAGGTTTTATTTTTAAGATTTCTTCTAATTCAAAAGTCCTGTATTTTTTTTAAATAGCTAAATGACATTGTTTCTCTCTACCCTACAAGCATGACTCATGGCTACACGATAACATTAGAATAACAGATAGGCACCGAGCTTTACATATAACCTTCCTTTAAAGGCTCTCAACAACACTGGCAGGTAGACACAGTTCTTATTCCCATTTTAGAAAAATCACTCCCATGGGCAGATTTCATGATACCTCTAAAATAATGAGGTCTTTAACAGATCAGTATAGACACAAGCACAGAGAGGTCTAAAATACGGTAGTTGTCACTTTCCTGTCCTTCCCTTTCTGTCACCTCAAGTCTCAACTACCTCATTGGAGTAGATACATCTCACATCTCCAAAGCAGAGACCCAGAGCAGAGGCGCTCTTCAGATGATCTCCAGGTCTAAAATACACACCCATGCCCACCTAGTCTCCTCCAGGTGGCTCTACAGGGGATGATGATTAGGAAGGTAAGGAAGAGCTTCTGTTAAGAAGGAGCATTCATAGACCATTTAGAAATAAGACTATAGCTACATAGAAAATATCAGACACAGGCCTTCTGGGAAGTCTTAGGACCTGCCTCTGATGATTGGTATGAGGCTGGGGAGGATGAGGAAAGACAGGACAAAGTTGCAAACCAACAAGATAACTTACAAGATCACAAGGTAACTTACCTAAGGCTTTGTGTTATGAAGTCTCTGTGTTAAATATCATGTAGATATATATTTAAGTTTATTCTTTCATTTTGCCTGCTTGTTTATATGCTAGCTTGTCATTTTCATGTTACTACTATATTCAGGATCGTAAAACATTTTTTAATGAGGTTTAGAGTTTTGGGTTAGAGTTTTTGACAGCTCAAACAGAAGGTAACTCCTAGACCCACCTTATGCCCATAAATTACCTGGGATCATGCATGACAACCAGACTTCACATTTCAAGCTGAGAGCTGGAACCAAGGGATAGCGTTGACAGAGGTAGCACATTGACAGTACAAATGTGTTCTTATTTTGCATAAATAAATTTGCACATTGTACTAAGTCTAGTAAGTGGATTCCCAAAGTCCCATGACGATCATCAGAATTAAAGGAGTAAAAGTATGTTAGGTGAGCCAATACAGGTAAGTGAGCACTATTAGTTCAGTAGTATTAATGCCGTTCAAGAGATCTAGAAGGAAAAATTCCATGTCATGCTCCATGGCATAAGCAATGGCATTGGATTAAAATAATGTGGCACCCCTAAAATCCCTGCCATAGGCAAAGCATAGTTGGATAAGAGATTTATGAGGAAATTTAGTCTTCCTTTCATTTACAGTACCATTTCATTTACAGTACCATGACAGGAGGGAATAATAGAATAGGGATTTATAGCAACATTCATCACTCTAACCATTTGATTTTTTTGAAGTCTTTGCAATCTTTATTTTTTATTTTTTAATTGATATATAACGTTAGTTTTAGATATGCAACATAATGATTTGATATATGTATATATTCTGAAATGATTACCAGAATAAATTTAGTTAACATCCATCACCTCAGTAGTTATAACTTTTAAGATGCCCTCTCTTAGCAACTTCCAAATATATAATATAGTATTGTTAGCTATAGTCACCATGCTGTACATTACACCCCCAGGACCCACTCATACCTAGAAGTTTGTATCTTTTGGCCACCTTCACCCATTTCACCCACCCTACACACCCCCTCGCCCTGTCTCAGGCAACCACCAAGCTGTTCTTCATATCTGAGTTTTGTTATTTTTCTTCTTTAGAGTCCACATATAAATGAAACCATATAGTATATGTCGTTCTCTGTCTGATTTATTTCACTTAGCGTGATGCCTTCAAGTTTCACCTGTGTTGTCACAAATGACAAGATATCCTTCTTTATGGCTGAATAATATTCCATTGCATTTATACACCACATTTTCTCTACCCATTCATCCACTGATGGACATTGATATTGTTTCCATGTCTTGGCTAGTGTAAATAATGCTGCCCTGAACATGGGGTTGCAGATATCTTTTCAAGATGGTAATTTTGTTTCTATTTGATTTTTTGAATAGTGCATCTGAATGGTCTTTTCCATGTTTTCTAAACTGGACATTGAAATTAGCTTTGGTGGGGGGGTGCTTTTCAAAGGAAGTATTCCTTTGAAGGCAGGATTGATACATGGGTCCCACAGGCCTTCCAGTGAATAAGAAAGCAAAGCCCACTACCACCTTCAGAAGAAAAGCATTTCTTTTTTTTTCTTTAAGATTTTATTTATTTATTTGAGAGAAAGAGAAAGCAAGCAAGAGCACAAGAGCAAGGGGAGGGAAAAGGAGACTCCCCGCTGAGCAGGAAGCCCTGTGTGGATCATGATCCCAGGACATTGGGATCATGCCCTGAGCCAAAGGCAGCTGCTTAACCAACTGAGTCACCCAGGTGCCCCAGCATTTCTTTTGATAGAAAAGAACATACTCCCTTTTTCACCTTACATATATAAGCCTTGAAAGGGCAGAGTTATCTATATACCACTTATTAGGGTGATAACTATCATTTTAGTGATTCTATATATTAACTTATTCTGAAAAGAACATTCGAAGTATAATAAGCTATTAAAAATGTCCACCTACATGTGTCCAGGTGCAGTGTTTCATTATCCATCTTTAAAGATTAATGTGTTCTGCACAAGCAAATTGTACAATAATGTGAACTTCACTAATTATGCAAAAAGCTGTTTTCTTTCCCATTCGTTGTGAAAATTTGCTTCAAATATGCATTTTACACTTCCGCCTTTGAAAGTAGAGGATCTTGAGCATAGTGATATCATCTAAACTTGCCCTGGTGACTTGGAGTTTTCCCTTGAAATAAGTGTCTTTTTTTTTTAATGCAGGATCTTATTTCTGTCCTGAATTTCCCCTTCTCTGGAGCAGAGTGTTAGTTGTCACATCACCTGTCCCTTTACAGCTTTACCCTTCAGGTTCCCTGCATCAGTGTTACTTAGGACCAGGAAAGTGTACCCAAACTAAGAGACAGTAAGACTTCCAGTGAGTTCCTAAGGAACTAAAGTGTGTAGCTCTAGGACCAGGAGTCTATGACAGAGACTTTGGGGACTAGTGGCATCTTTCCTTTACTTTCGTACCATTCCAGAGCCCAGGGTTTCCTGAAATCTGACCCTGGAAGAGTGGAGTGCTAATGTCCCTGTTTGCGTATCCCTTACAGATTACAATCCAGTATCGGTCAAATGGTTGAAAATTAAAATCTACATGATGAATATGCTCCATATGTGGCCCATGTATTTTACGGGATGCAGACAGAAGGTATCTTTTCTT